TTGTGTGCGAGAAAGAAAAATTGTTCCGTTGACAAAACTTTGGCGTGAAATTATACTTTGAAATACATAAGAAAATTCACAAAGGTGATTTTCTTAAAACTTTATCATTTAGCTTCGAATTAGAATTTTTAAAATGTCTTATTATATAGCTCTTTCATAGTATTCTTATGGGAGGAATTAATCCTGTAAAATATGTCTAACTCTAGGAGTTAGCAAGGGATAGAAGAATATGCTGAATTGCAGGTGAATGTTAGAACTTTGATTAATAAATTATGTGAAGCAGAAATTTTATTGTGAAAAGTTGTAATAACACAAAAACTCAAAATATTTTAAAAATTAGGGCATAGGGAGTTTAAATATTTTGGTTTGTTGTGGAATTTGGTGTCTGCTGAATCAATAGGGTGAATACTCTTGAATATTAAATACATGTAAATAAGAGTTACTAACATTTGCATCGTTAAGGAGTTTACATTAATCATTGTATAACCATCATCATATTTTATTGCACAAACTTTTCATAATATCCATGTGAGATACAGTTACTATTATATACTCATTTTGAGAAAGTTGGTACTGAGAAGCAGAAAAGTCTAAGTAACTTGGCTAGGGAGACCAAAGTTCTTGTCAGGGCTTGGTCTCAAGTCACCTGGACTTCAAATCTTCCCTCTACTCCTTCTTGGTTAGTCTTTTAGCATGATCTTACACTGTGAACTCTGAAGACAGAAAAAAATCAACTCAGAGTGAATGTGAATATTGACCTCTGAGGTCAGGTTAACTCCAAGTGTGGCATTTTTTGTTTGTTTGTTTGTTTTGCTCTTGTTCCCTGTGCTGATATTTGTATACTGCTTCTCTCTTGTCCTCTTTCTCTTATGCATTTCCTTTTCCTTTGGCTTTTGTGATAATGCTATATATTTGCCAGAGTGAACAGATTTATTTCCATCATTGCAGTCTGATAGTTAAAATACTTTAAATAAGAAATTAACCTCACTGTTGCCCGCACTTACTTAAAAGTAACTTTTTCTGACTGAAGCAGCAGATTCAGGCACAAAAAGAGAGAATACTCATGCTTGTCATCTTCGCATTTCAGATATGGGTGTTATTGATCCAAAGGGTGTTCCTGCTGAAAGACACAGAGTGTGTCTGTCCCCTGTATCCATCAAGTCAAAGGATCTTGCCAGAAGCAATATTCACTTCAATGCCCAGTTGGACTCCCTGTTTATAACAGACATTCTTATGAAAGGCCCTATTTTTTAGATTAAATATTTCCTGTGCCAAAACATTCTGCAACAGCGAGTCAAAACATGCTGTATATCCCAAAGGATATATTCTGGCTGTGAGCACAGATCCTGTATAATTTGAGTTTTTCCTTGTTTTATTTTCAAACAAAATATCTTGGGGTTATGATTATTATACAAACTCAGATTTAAGGCTCAGGAAAATGTAAATGACAGCTAAAGATAGTTCCAAAATCTTCTCTGGTTTCTCCAATACCTTGACTAATAGATTGTCTCATAAAAGTTTATTTTTCTTTTCTCTTAGTCTCCAAAGCTCTACTTTTCTGCATAAAGCTAATGAATCCTGACAGAGTTTCTGAACCTAAACATATATTTCTTGTGCTAATTAGAAAATTTGGACACAAGGATGATAAATTTCCAGTTTTACAGGGTAGAGCTGTACATTAAAATCACCAGGTTCAGTGTGGTGGCTCACACCTTTAATCCCAGCACTTTGGGAGACTGAGGCAGGCAGATCCCTTGAGCCCAGGAGTTTGAGACCAGCCTGGGCAACATGGTGAAATCCCAGCTCTATGGAAAACACAAAAAATTCGCTGGTGTGGTGGCATGTGCCTATAGTCCCAGCTACTCTGGAGGCTGAGATGGGAGGATTACGTGAGCCTAGGAGGAGCAGGTTGCAGTGAGTTGACACCACTGCACTTAAGCCTGGGCAACAAAGCGGGACCCCCATCTCAAAAAGCAAGCAAACAAACAAATAACCCAAACTACCAGCTCCCTGTTTACAAAACAATGTGTGTATGCCTGTGTGTATGTGTATCTGTGTGTGTATAAACTCCTTGTTTAGTAGTTGTGGTGATGGAGTAGGGAGGGAATTGTAAACACCTAACAAATAGGTTTCACTGAGGTAAATTCTTTTTTATATATTATCTAAACTAAATCTCAAAACAAGAGATTTAGGTTGGAAATTTTGCTTCTATTGCACTGACAAAGAAGATAAGGCATAGAGAAGTAAAACAATTTGTCTAAAGAAACATACTCAGTAAATGATTTAATCCCATCTTAGTGTGACTAAAAAACCCAAAACTGTCCTTCTTACCTTCCTGCTTTCCTGGGAAATACTATATAAGCCCGAGAGACAGTTATTCCTTTTACGCTTCACAAGACCAAAGGGTTTATTTAGAAGGATGGAGAACAAATGAATTTTGACTCTTAAACTATAGTATATATGTAGCATTTTTAAATTCATTTCTTGAGCATCAAAGCAGTCTCAAGGCTAAAAATTTATAGTGGCAGCGGACATTTCCTTGTTTATTGTATTCTACTTTCAACAGAAGAGTGTACTACTCAAAAGAAATGATTTTCCTGTATTGTATGCAAAACACACTGTGTTGTGCCTCAATATTTTTATTTATATTAATTATAACCGCAGGATTACCACAAATAATTAAATTTAAAAGGTAAAACATTTAGGTCAATTTAGCACAAACAATAAAAGTTTTTTTTTTTAAATCAAGAATTGCTTTCTATAAACAAACATTTTAGTAAATGTGCATTAAATTGTATTAAAAAGTATGAAGAGATAAGTTCTATATGTACGGTTTCGTGGACAAGCAGAATGTCAGGCTAATATTGTTAGTGTCTGGTTTCAGTATCATTTAAATGCTGACAGATGATTTATTAGTTCTTTAAATTGTTCAAAACAAATAATTTCTGATTCTAGCCAAAGGAATATTGGATATTGGGCTTACTCTTCTGCCATTAACAACTAAGAAACTGAAAAAAACGTAAGGCAGTGAATTTTTGGTGTTGGATGACAGTATAGGGCTATGGTTCTTGAGAGAAGATGAACCATATGGTAAACTTAACATTTATAGTAGTGTCGTGAACTTTCTTAATGGCAGCATGTGAAAGTGGGGCCCATTGTTCTTACAGAGGAAAGAGAAATCAGTTTGATCCCTGCTGAGTCAGGTGAAATTTTTAAAGGTGTACCAACGGAATGTAGGGTCCAGTACAGAGAGGAATCCAGAGACTTAGAGTATCTTAAAAAATCTTAGGCCGAACACGACACTGCCTATACACAGGGCAAGTCTCTTGAATACCTGGCAAAGAACAGCTCTTTGTGAGCTGAACATGTGCTCTGGAGGTTGCGCAGGGTTGGAAGATGCTGAATTTTTGACCAGTAAAAATAAAGACATCTGACTGAACACAGAGTATAAGTTTGGAACCCAGAAGTCCCTGCCTTATGAGTAGGAATAACTGATAAATGCAATAACATGGATAACTCTCAACTGCTTTGTGCTAAGTGAAAGAAAAAAAAATCTACACACAGTAAGTTATATACTGTAACATTTGATCTACGTGACATTCTTGCAAGTGCCGTAGAGATTGAAAACTGCTCAGTCTTTGCCTGGAGCTGCAGTTGGGGAGAGTGGCTGACAAAGGGGTACAGAAGAATTCTTTGGAGTAGTGGAATTACTCTATTAGGGTTGGGCAAATCTTTTTCTGTAATGGACCTGATAATAAATATTTTTAGGGCCATAAAAGTTTCTGTCACGTATCCTTGCTGGTTTTTATTTCAGAACCCTTTATTAATATTGAAAAAATTCTCAGCTGAGTGGCCATACAAAAACAGCCTATAGACAATATTTGTTCCACTGTCATTGTTTGATGACTGTTGCTCTATATCTTGATTTTGATGGTGTTTATATGACTATACATGTTTGTCAAAATTCCCAGAATTATACACTTAAAATTTTAAATTTCAAAGAATGTGTATTACTTTTTAATGAAATAAATGGGGGACCATCATACACATTATGTTCTCTCACCACAAAAGTAGAAATTTTTAAATAGCCCTACATCTGTTGATAAATAGAATTTATGATTAAATAAATTCCCACAAAAACTTCATATCCAAAGCTGCTCATAGGAAATTTTTCAAACATTTAATAAACTAATATTACCAATATTACACAAACTCTTTCATATAATAGGGGAACGGGGGATACTTTCCAAGTCATTTCATGAAGCCAATATAAATCTGACAGCAAGTCTAGAAGACGATATCATATGCAAAGAAAATTAAAGACTAATATTCATTGTGAGCATAGACACAAAAATCTATAATCAAACATTGTCACATTGGATTTGGCAATATCTAAAGTCATTAAATAATCATGACCATGTGGCAATGGCAATCGCAGCAATGGCAAGTTGGTTTATTATATGGAAATCACAGTGGAGCTCACACATTAACAGATTAAAGAAGAAAAATTATTTTTAAGTAGATTCTGAAAAAGCACTTAAAAATTCAGCACCTGTTTATAATAAAAACTCTCCGCAAACTAGGGACAAAAGAATTTTTTTTCTTCTAGGCAAATAAAGTCTGACATAAATCAACTTAAAATATTTTACTTATGCAGAAGGAATGAGCGTTATATCCTCAAAGAGGGAAAAGATAAAGTTGTACATTTCTACCACATCTAGTCAGGATTATACCAGAGGTCTTAATGTATTAAATGAATTTTAAAAAAAGAAAGAAAAGGCATACATTTTAGAAAAGAATAAATAATAAAATTTCGATTTGAAGATAATATAACATATGCCTAGAAAGTTATATGGAGGGATCTCATGTCTTTGTGGGACTCCATGCATATGTATGTAATTAAAATTGTTTTTTGTTGTTATTTTTTTGTTTAAAAAAGTTGTAAAGAATAAAAAAGTGAACTTTGCAATGTCACAGGATGCAAAGAAAATATACAAAGAGGCTTTGCAGACGCCACCGCCGCCTGGAGCCTTGTAGTATCAGCCATGGTCAACCCCACCGTGTTCTTCGACATTGCCGTCGACGGCGATCCCCTGGGCCACGTCTCCTTCGAGCTGTTTGCAGACAAGGTTCCAAAGACAGCAGAAAACTTTCGTGCTCTGAGCACTGGAGAGAAAGGATTTGGTTATAAGGGTTCCTGCTTTCACAGAATTATTCCAGGGTTTATGTGTCAGGGTGGTGACTTCACATGCCATAATGGCACTGGTGGCAAGTCCATCTACGGGGAGAAATTTGATGATGAGAACTTCATCCTAAAGCATACAGATCCTGGCATCTTGTCCATGGCAAATGCTGGACCCAACACAAACGGTTCCCAGTTTTTCATCTGCACTGTCAAGACTGAGTTGTTGGATGGCAAGCATGTGCTCTTTGGCAAGGTGAAAGAAGGCATGAATATTGTGGAGGCCATGGAGCACTTTGGGTCCAGGAATGGCAAGATCAGCAAGAAGATCACCATTGCTGACTGTGGACAACTTTAATAAGTTTGACTTGTGTTTTATCTTAACCACCAGACCATTCCTTCTGTAGCTCAGGAGAGCACCCTCCACCCCATTTGCTCGCAGTATCCTAAAATCTGTGCTCTCACTGCAGTTCCCTTTGGGTTCCATGTTTTCCTTGTTCCCATCCATGCCTAGCTGGATTGCAGAGTTAAGTTTATGATTATGAAATAAAAACGAAATAACAACAAAAAAAAGAAAATATACAAAGATCAATTGTATTTCTAATCAACAACAATAAGCAATTGGAAAGAAAATAGATGCTATATTTATAGATTATAAGGCTCAATATTGTTAAAGTTATTAAAATGTAAATTCCTCATAAATCTATCTATATATTTGACACAATCCTAACCCAAATGATACTGGGCTTTAAAAAAAGGCAATTTGTGGCCGGGCGCGGTGGCTCAAGCCTGTAATCCCAGCACTTTGGGAGGCCGAGGCGGGTGGATCACGAGGTCAGCAGATCGGGACCATCCTGGTCAACATGGTGAAACCCCAACTCTACTAAAAATACAAAAAATTAGCTGGGCACAGTGGTGCGTGCCTGTAATCTTAGCTACTCGGGAGGCTGCGGCAGGAGAATTGCCTGAACCCAGGAGGTGGAGGTTGCGGTGAGCCGAGATTGCGCCATTGCACTCCAGCCTGGGTAACAAGAGCAAAACTCCATCTCAAAAAAAAAAAAAAAAAAAGAAAGGCAATTTGTTACGTCCAAATATATATCAAAATGAAAATGTCTTAGAACAGTTGGAGAACTTACCCTACTTGACTGTCATACACACTAGAAAGCTATGGAAATCAAGAGTATGATACTAGCAAGAAGATAGATGAATACATCAAATGAAAACAATTGTGAATCCTGAAATAGACTCACACATACAAATTCAAATTATGTTTTGGCATGGTCTCTAAAATAATTCAACAGAAAAAGGAAAACAACTTTAGCAAATGGTGATGAAGCAAATAGGAATAAAGAAAATATAGAACCTCAACCTCAATTTCACATCATACACTAAAAAAATCATCTCATATAAATGAGGTAAATCAATATCTAAATCTAAAGGAAAGTTTAAAATATTCTAGAAAAAAAACTTCATGGGCTTAGAGTGGTAATAATTTATTAGACTTGAACAAAAAGCCCAAATAATGAAAAAATAGCACTTTATCAAAGCAAAATACTTTGTTCTTCAAAAGCACCATTAAGATAGTTTTAAAAAGCAAGTTATAGATTGTAAGAAAATATTCGATATACTCATGTCTGACAGAGGATGTATAACCAGAGTATAAAAAGAATACTTAAAACTCAATAATATAAACACAGGCATTCCAACATAAAAAATAAAAATTGAGATTCTATATCTAGAGAAAAACACCCTTCAGAAATGAACAAGAAATCAACACATTCCTACATGAAGGAAACATAAGAAAATATGTTGCCAGGAGACTTACTCTACAGGAATGGCTAAATAAAATTTCTAAAAGTAAAGGAAACAACAAAAGAATAAAACTTGTGACATTGGGAAGAAAGACCAAATACAGTAAACAAAAATATGGGTACATATAACAGACTCTTCTCTTGAGTATTCTAATTACACTAGATAGTTGAAGCAAAAACTAAAACACCAATGTTGCTCTAAATATTTGTAGAAGAAATATCTAAGAAAATTATAAATGGGGGAGAATAAAGAAATGTAAAGGGAAGTAATCTTTCTATACTTCACTAGAACTGATAAAATGAGAACACAAGTAGACTGTGGTAAGTTATGGATATGTAACAACATAATAACTAGTGCAACCACTAAAACAGCTATACAAAGAGACACAGTCAAAATGCTATAGATAAATAAAAGGGAAATTGTAAAAAATGTTTTATATGAGCTGGGCATGGTGGTTCATGCCTGTAATCCCAGCACTTTGGGAGGCTGAGGTGGGAAGATCATGAGGTTAGGGGTTCAAGACCAGCCTACCAAGCATGGTGAAACTGGTCTCTACTTAAAAATACAAAAATTAGACAGGCATGATGGTATACACCTGTAATCCCAGCTACTTGGAGGCTGAGGCAGGAGAATTGCTTGAATCTGGGAGGCGGAGGTTGCAGTGAGCTGAGAGCATGCCATTGCACTCCAGCCTGGGCAACAGAGTTAGACTCTGTCTTAAAAAACAATAAGTTTTACATGATGATTTACATGTTTTATATGTGTCGTGGGTTTCCACAGACAGAGAGGAAAAAGAAGATATAAATGAAAAGAAGAGAGAACAAACAGAAAACAAAAATAAAATAGCTGATTTAACTCACAGGTATCAATAATTCTATTAAATTTAAATGGTATAAACACAGCAATCAAAAGACAGAGATTTACAGAGATTAACTAAATGCTGTCTATGAGAAACTAACATCAAATATGACAATATAAGCAGTTGAAACTAAAATGATTGAAAATATATCTTACATAAATTTTAATAAAAGGAAAGCAGGAGTGACTATATTAATATCATCATATGTAGTAGACTTCAGAGAAAATAAAATTACTACAGATGGAGAAGGAGATTAATAACAAGAAAAGTTTAAATTCACCAAAAGGGCAGAGATTCTAAATGTATGTGCACCAGAAGACAGATCAGGAAAATATGTGAAGCAAAAACTGATCAAACTGAAAGAAGAAATGGACACATTCATAATTATAGTTGGAGACATGAACACTACTCTCTCAGCAATTCATGAAATAAGTAAAGAGAATTTTAACAAAGATATAGAAGAGCTCAACCAATAGAAACTAGACATTTATGGAACACTCTATCAAACAACAAACTACACATTATTTTTAAATCATACCTATACCAACATAAACCATACTCTGGGCCATAAAACCAACCTCAACAACTTTAAAACAATTGAATTTATACAAAGTATATTCTCTGAAACAATGGAATCAAGATACAAATCAATAAGAGAAAGATTACAGAAAAGTTTCCAAACACTTGGGAACACATTTATAAATAATTCATGGGTGGGGGGGTGGAGCAAGATGGCCGTTTAGGAACAGCTCAGGATTGCAGCTCCCAGTGAAAGTGCAGAGGGTGAGTGGATGCTGCATTTCCAGATGGATCTTTATTGCCCACAGACCAGGAGATTCCCAGATGGTGGAGCCCCATGGGTTGCCAGTGCAGCTGTTTTGCCAGCACCCCGGCGTGGCAGTTCTCCATACAAAACACACTGGTCTGGTTGCCCTTTTAAGCTAGCAATTGGAGCTCTGGGAAGGCAGATTTGCCCATTTATCTGATTAAACAGGAGACTCAAACAGGGAGCCAGGCCAGGACATTCCCAGGCAAAAAAGCACCACAAATCTCAGCACCATTGTTTCAGCTGGCACAGTGGGTTGCTGCACAGGAAATCACACAGATCCTGTCGCCTTTTCAGCAGGCGACTGGAACACGTGGGAGAGAGTCAACCATTCAACTTAAAAAAAAAAAAGGCTCTGAGGCAGGGAGCCAGGTGATCAGACTTGGCGCATCCTACCCCCACAAAACAAAACAAAAAACCCCCCAAAACAGCAATTGGAAATGCTCGGGGTTGAGAGTTTCACAGCAAGGACAGCTGAACCCGGGATGGTGCAGCTCTGTGGGGGAGGGGCGTCCACCAATACCAAGGCCCTCCACCCCTACAGAGGCAGTCCACCGTTGCTGAGGCAGCTTGCCATTGCTGAGGCAACCCGCCATTGCCAAGGCAACCCGCTAAAACAGAGAGAGTCCGCCATTACAGAGGTGGGCCACCATTGCGGAAGCATTTCTAACCACACCCATATAAACAGGACTACAGGGAGGTTCACACAGCAGCAGAGTGGAGCCCACAGCAGCTCAGCAAAGCCTCAGCAGGCTGACAGTGACTAGGCTGCCTTCTTGCTGGGAAGGGCATCCCTGAAAAAAAAAGGCAGCAGCACAACAGAAACTCATAAATAAAGCCCTAACTCCCCAGGATAGAGCACCTGGGGAAAAAAAGGGGGGGGCTTATGAGTTCTGCTACAGGAGACTTAAACGTACCTGCCTAGCAGCTCTGAATGAAAAACAGAGCTCAGAGCTCAGCACTTGAGCTCCTCAAAAGGACAGACTGTCTCCACAAGCAGCTCCCTGACCCCCGTATATCCAAAGAGTCACCTCACAAAGGACTGATCAGACTGACATTTGGTGGGCATCATTCTGGGACAAAGATAGCAGAAGAAACTGGTAGCAACCCTTACTGTTCTGCAGCTGCTGCAGGTGATCGCCAGGCAAGCAGGGCCTGGAGTGGACCTCAGCAGTTCTACAGCAGAGGGGACAGACTGTTAGAAGGAAAACTAAGAAACAGAAATAACTTCATCATCAACAATGTGGATGTCCACTCAGAGACCCAATCAGAAAATCAGCAACTACAAAGATGACAGGTGGATAAATCCACAAAGATGGGAAGAAACCAGTGGAAAAAGGAGGAAAACACCCGAAACCAGAACATGTCTCCTCCTACCAGGGATCACAACTCCTCACCAGCAAGGGAACAAAGCTGGATGGAGAATGAGTGTGAAGAAATGACAGAATCAGACTTCAGAAGGTGGGTAATGAGAAACTTCTGTGAGCTAAATGAACATGTTCTAACTCAATGCAAAGAAACTAAGAAGCTTGAAAAAAGATTTGACAAAATGATAACAAGAATGGGCAACTTAGAGAGGAATATAAGTGAATTGATGGAGCTGAAAAACACAACACAAGAACTTCGTGAAGCATGCATAAGTTTCAACAGCTGAATTGACCAAGCAGAAGAAAGGATATAAGAGCTCAAAGATCAACTCAAAGAAATAAAATGAGAAGGCAAGATTAGAGAAAAAAACATGAAAAGGAATGAACAAAGTCCCCAAGAAATATGGGACTATGAGAAAAGACCTAATCTACATTTGATAGGTGTACCTGAATGTGATGAAGAGAATGAATCCAAGCTGGAAAATACTCTTCAGGATATTATCCAGGAAAACTTCCCCAACCTAGCAAGGCAGGCCAATATTCAAGTCTAGGAAATACAGAGAACACCACAAAGATATTCCTCAAGAAGAGCAACCCCAAGGCACATAATCGTCAGATTCACCAGGGTTGAAATGAAGGAGAAAATGCTAAGGGCAGCCAGAGAGAAAGGTCGGGTTACCCACAAAGGGAAGCCCATCAG